GAAAAATAAGTAGTCCTCCATATCTGAAATTTAACGTTTCATTTTATTTAAAATGTGGTCACGTGATTTTTATATAAAGTGGAAGAAGTTTGTCAACATTTACTATGAATGCCACTGGTTAAATATTTGAAGGTGAGATATAAACAAAGGACAATGTGTAGAAGGTCATCCATTGACTTCAATGAATATGTTTAGTTTTAATTAAAATCATGTTTATTGATGGATGTAAACACGGATACTTTTTGACTTACGATAAGTATGACAAAAATATGAAAACAAAATTGGAAACAACGACGTAGAAAGTAAATACATGCATAGAAATTTCACGACGATGGCGTCTCGTTAGTAGTAGCGTGGAAGGAAGATCCGACAGGTTTTTGGCGATTTCTTCCAGACAAAAGCAAAATTTTGATACGTCGATGATGACTACCAAGATTAGCAAAGAGTCGTGACAATTCTTGACAATACTCTTCAAAAGAAACCATAGTTTAGTACGCCAGATGCACGTTTCTACAATTAGACCCAAAATGACACGCGAATAAAAACAGTTTGTATTCCAAATCATTATGTTTACAAATACTATGAATCAAGAAATATTTCTATCGTCCTCGAGGAAGTTGTAGAGAAAATCTTTTAATTTCATTATGCTCTTGTTTAAGTGTATTGTCGTATTTTAGAATAAGCATTCGTCAATTAAGTGTAGGAGAAGGTGGTTTTTTTCTTTTAGGGTATCATTCTTGAAGGAGCATTTTACGATAACATTAGAGCGCATCAAAATATTCCTTCCATTTGACAGTCACGGGGTATGTTATCTGATGTACTTTGACCTTGAACCCTTCTTGGTCCAATCTGGCGTGTAATCCCTCTCCATTAGACCTTTACTTTTTTCTGCCCTCATGATCCACATTGAATTTCAACTTGACAGCTTCTGGCGCAGAATAAGCGGGTAATAATTACGGTTGAATATTCAGTGATTAGACGGCAAATAATGAACTGTATTACACTGAGGGACAGTTCTTTGCTCAGTTAGAAAAGACGGAACATATGCTGTAAATGATCTGAAGTGATTCCAATAACAAAAACGTGGTTTGACTATCTAACTGGATGTTAAGTTATTATACTGTATCAGCGGGTCATATATCTACTCGTCATAACGATGACAGTTGTAAATGTACATGATGTAGCTACCAGACAGCTTGATTTCAAACAATTAATGCTCTGCACGGAGACTGATCGAGAAAAGCATTAAATCGAGATTTTTTTCAGTCAGGAAAAGAAATTTGAAAACTAATTGTGAATTTCCGTTTCAGAAAAGCAGTTAAAGCATTAGATAACGAAATTTAAAATAAATGTTGTGTGTAAAATGTAATGAAATATTTAGTTTGATCCCATACAGTATGTAATCTGTGCATATGTTTAAATAGTCCGGTCATTGTCTGCAATGTTTGTTTTCGTTCGATGTTGTAATGTGAATCAGGCAATTGGTTTTCACTTTTGGGTTGTTAAAACTTTTGCATTTATCATACTTTTCTATAAAAAAAACATTAATGAATCATGACTTAGTTTGGTAATAACCTGTGATTTATAACAATACGTGCAGAGCATGAACAATCATTATCAGTGGCGGATCCAGAGGGGGCGTAGAGGACGTACGCCCCCCCCCTTTTTGCTTGCACTTTTTTTTTTTTTTTTTTTGTAAAATGATTAATCAGATTAGACTTCGTGAACTTTGCCATTTCCGCGTATTTAATTTTTATGCGACAATTCTTAACTTATAAAGATATGTTTCGCTCGTATTTACTTTAATATATTATTGATTATGTCAAAATCATGTGATTCGCTACGGTGGAGTTGACCAGTGCGTCGAAAAAAACGTCACTCAGTCATTTTGAAATTCAAATTACAGTAACACATTGCTTAGGCGGAGGATCACAAGCATGACACCTTCAAAGCGACAAAGGATTGAGCAAGAACGTATTTATTGACTTCTATTTCACAATTCCATCGAACAGAAAGTAATACTCTATTACACTTTCATGAAAAAAAAGTTCCACAGCAATATTATTTACCTACGAAAACATGTTTAACCCATCACGCCCCAGCCTATTAATAACATAGCTGAATAATGATCCCCAGTCAATAAGCTCTAGATAGATTTAAAGTCTAAGGTACGGACCATTTGATTTGAGGGGGCAGTCTGAGATGTTTGAGAGAAAAAATTCTGAACCTGATTTTTGCCTTAAACAAAAATTCTGGCCGTATCTGGATTGAAAACAATAATCTTGTCCACTTTTTTCGCTGTTAGAAACAAAACTTTCCAACAGAATTATTTAGCATTAAATGAACATGATGAATAAAAAAAACAGGCGTAATATTTTTAGGGCCGGGGGGGTTGCATGTAAATCGCATATCTGACCGGAATGTCTGTTTCGTCGAACTGATAAAATGAATATTTTTTTCAAGGCCCGACTGCAACCTACCTGCTGGGTGTGGCCTTTATGTCTCCATTTGTCGACCGTCATTCATATATTCGTTGTCATTTCAGACGATTTTGAACCCCCTCACTTCCCTTGTTGGGTGAAACATTTCAACCAAACATTTGGATAAAAATTGCTTGATTGTCTTTCTTAACTCGTGTCGGTCGTATTGTAAATTTCATTGAATAGCCCGGCGTATATCTTGTTTACAACAAGAAATCCGTGACGTTATGCTAACTAAACATACAACAAACGAGAATTTTCCATGTCAATTTTTTACTGACAAGGCCCATATCAAATATATTAGTAGCTTTGGATCCATCCAATCATTTCATAATAGACAATTAATGGGGAGAATACGTCATCAAAAATGTCCAACACTTACACTTTAACTATAAAAAATACATGCCTTACGTCAGGAACCGTTAAAAAAGTGCATTTTTTTACACTTATTTTATGTTTTTTAGCCAAAAAAAAGGTCCAAAAAAATTTTCGCCTCGCTCCGCTCGCCGATGTTTACATACTTCGCCCCCCCTTTCCAAAATCTAGGATCCGCCCCTGATTATTATACAAGAACAAGTCGACTATTATAATAATACCTCAAATATGTCGTTAAACTTTATTTCGAGAACTTACATACATTATCAAGCAAATTTAATTCTGGCATCACAGTTACACTAAGTATGTCTATATCCTAGTATATTTATTTTGATAATCTACTAAGATATACAAATATAATTATAATATAAGTAGTATGTTATTCGGCATAGTTAACTTAGTATGAACTATTCTATTGGATCTTTTTTCTCTTATAATGATAAGGGACGTCATCGCTGAGCACGTTAGTCCACGGAGAGGACGCTAAGGAGAGATAACTGTGTCTGTATTATGTATTTGAGATGTGTCATAGTTATCTCGCTTTAGATAAGTTTTAGATTGACTGCTTATAACAAGGGCTTTTAACATGTTTAAAGTAACGTGAGACTTTATAACGTCTTTTAAATAAATCTCTAAAGAAAGCTTCCATGAGACAGCAACCAAAATGTAATCGAAAAAGATGTTATGTTATATGAAAAATTACAAAGAAAGAAACCAAATATATACTGCATTTACACTTGACAGCGATTTCAACATAAATATATCAGCTTTTGTTAGTCCAATTTTCTCTTTATTTTTTTTTCATTCACGAGGACATAATCATAGTCCTTGGGCAAATATATCTGAACAATCTTATAGTATTTGCATCATATACCATATACAATGTACAAAAAACGACCTGCACGATGATCGATTTTTTTATGCCAAAAAAGTGAATCATTAATGATACAGGGTAGTCAAAGTTAAGACTTTTTTCTACAAGTATTTGAAACATTCCTGAGCTTGATTTGTTTTATTATGGTCATAGAAGGTATACACATCCAATGCACTGAGCATGGATTTATTTTGTTATCCACTAAAAAGTGAGTTTATGGACATAGAAGATAGACACGTCCAACGTACAAGGCGTGGATTTATTCTGATGTCCATTAAAATATAATGGTCATAGAGAGTAGGATTATCCAACGCCCTGAGCGTGGATTTATTCTGATGAACATTTAAACGTAATATTATGGTCATAGAAGATTGGCACATCCAACGTCCTGGGCGTGGATTTATTCTGATGTCCACTAAAAAGTCATATAATGGTCATAGAAGATTGGCACATCCAACGTCCTGAGTGTGGATTTATTCTGATGTCCACTGAAAAGTCATATAATGGTCATAGAAGATTGGCACATCCAACGTCCTGAGTGTGGATTTATTCTGATGACCACTTAAACGTCATATAATGGTCATAGAAGATTGGCAAATGCAACGTCCTGAGCGTGGATTTATTCTGATGTACATTGAAAAGTAGTATTATGGTCATAGAAGATTGGCGCATGCAACGTTCTGAGCGTGGATTTATTCTGATGTCCAGTTAAAAGTCATATAATGGTCCACAGGCACATATATGCCTAATATAACACAAGGTACTTAACTTGCATTCTTGAAAAATGTCACCCAGTCGCGAAATTCTGTTTAATTTCGATTTCTCGGTTGTCAACCCCACTAAAACTTGAGTCTTATATTTCCAATCGGGTGTTGGTAGACGAAATAATTACGGTTGACATACCTAGGTAAGCCTGCTACGAATGATTCCGACAACAAAGGTAGGCGTGTTATACACCATTATGTAGATAAATCAATTTAGATTTACGGCATAACAAGTTTTAGTGGGGTTGACAACCGAGAAATCGAAATACAACGGAATTTCGCGATCGGGTGACATTTTTCAAAAAGGCACTGGCTACGGTTACATGGAAATGTAACAATAATAAAAATATTATTGTTACATTGGCGACTTAATGCCGGAATGCATGGTTCGGTAAGGACCTGATTAATTACGAATGTAACAATAATTATTGAGGATACGGTTACATTGCGTTATTGTTACATGAAAGACAGCAATGTACGATGGGACTAGTAACATGTACTAAATAATAAAAGTTGAAGACATTTATTTTATATTTACAATACATACAATTATTACATACAATTTCTTTAATTTTTTATTTACAATGACATTTTCTACATATCCAGTAAGTGGTTTTTGGAGCATGTTTAAGTCCGACATATTTCTGACGAAACCACTTCAAGCAGCCATCACACACCAGTGATGCTGCATTGTGAACTTCCGTATCGCATATCGTGCAGTTCCATTCTGCGATATCCCTTTTAGAAGATAAGGCAACCTTTAATGTTTACCATGTTTCTGGTGAGAAATACTTTTTCACTCTAGCAATGTTGATATTCTCATCCAATATTTTGGTTGGAAGCATGTGGTGTAGTTTCATGTCGTCTTTCAATATGATCGCACTGCCGTCCATTACGGATTTTAGGTTTACCTCACATTTCAGTATCCAACTTAGCATAGCTGAAAAAAAAACAATAAATCATAAAAATGCAAATCAATTGTCGAAAGTTCATCAAGTACTAACAAATAGTGCCGTTGAATTATTTTCCATTTTTTTCCATTTTTCAAACTGACTGGCAACGCCATGGCTAAAAAGTAAAAAGACAAACAGACAAATAACAGTACACAAGACACAACATAGAAAACTAAAGACTAAGCAACACGAACCCCATCAAAACTGAGGGGGGGATATTCACTTTCCCAATTTTTCTTAAAAGTTATTTACCTTCTTCTTTTTCCTTTGGTCGTCTTTTAAGAAACGGCATGACTCTCTTCGTTCTTTTGGGCAATCCAACGACGGTCGTTTCTGCACCTTTCGGTCATCCTCGGCGTATCATTTTAGGGGGAGCTTATAGGAAGGGTCTATCAGTAACGGGAAATCATCTGAAACAAATATAGTGCAAATTTTATATAAAATTTAAGAATTAAATATAGCTTATGTCGTAACAAAGGATAATTTATCGATATACTACATACCAGACGAAGTGATGCCATTGTCGTCATTGGAGTCATGGTGTGATTCATCATCTTGGGATGTGTTTCCATTCGTAGCTGTTGACGAGGTGCTAGCTCTGCTGAAAATTGAGTAAAAAAAACATTAAAGCAATTAAAGGCATCCGTACGGCATTCAGCAATGAGAATAAAGATTAAGTCCCATATCTTCATATAAAAAAACTTATAAAAAAAAACAAAGACAAAAGGAACTTATTTCAATAGATTTTAAGAAGTCACCAAAAACAGACGGACGGAGAGACGAATAAAAAATGTAAAAAATCAAATGAGAAAACTAACAACCAAATTCATAACACGACAATTTACAGAAACAGACTAAAAAAGAATATTTACCTTTAACGTCTTTCCTTCTAGAGAGAAGTGTGTCAAAATCTGTGTTAGTAGATGTAGTAGTGTTTCCTATATGTTGCGTAAGTCTTTCAATGTAACAATCTGTCCAGTCATCACAGAAATATGATCCTGCACCAAACGCTTGTTTGACTTCATCTTCAGTAATTTCTCAACATCCTTTTTTACGTCTGAATCCAACTTACGCTGGTGATATAGGTGTCTGTAAGACGCCTGCAACAGATCGTAAATTTGAGAAGAGTACAGTTTTTTTTAAGGCACCTTTTTTTTATGTTTTCTATATCAATCATATTAGTCAAAATAATACGTTTACCTTAGTAATTTCATGGTTATGTTCATTGTTGAAATTCGTGACTTCAAGGAATACACCGTCTTTACATTTCAGTTTCATCTGGAAAGTGCTAAAAAAACAAAAACACAATGCTTTAGATCAGGTTTTAAGAATTAATTCACAATTTCATAACAAAAACGAGGCAAGAGAGTTCGAAGAGGCAGAGGCAGACATACTACATTCATTAAACTAGCAATGCAAAACAGCAAATATGTCGTTGGAAGAAAAAAAAACGTTGGACACTTGGTCTGTGTCAATTTAAACTTTAATTTTATAACACGAATGTAATTTAAATCTCGCATGGATATTATGACCCATTGATATTCGTATATATGTTAAAAAAAACTTACCTTTGGTTTGGGCGAGCTCCATCTGATTTTGAAACGAAATTACGTCCTCCATGGATACATGTATACAGAAGTTCACAGTATTTTGTTCACAGTTAGCAAACTTTGCTATTGATGTATCAATTTTTTTTAGAACTGCGTTTGTATAGCTGTATGAAATTTGTGTCTTGATATTGTTTCAGTTTTGTTTCAAACGCATCCCATGTTTTAAATTTTTCACCCAAAACAAAATTGGCAATAGGAATCTCTTCATCCGTGATTGTTCAAAGTATAATGACAGTAATAAGTAGTAGGTGTGCAGTTAAATACTTAGAAGTGAACACTTTTCTCAGCCCGAGTTCTCAACAACAAACCATTGAACTATATTTTTCGCCTTTGGCACTACTAATCTGAAGTAGTATCTTTAAGAACATCAAAACCATTAATACGTAAAACTATTTAAACACCATTTGTTGAATAATAATATTTATTATTTATCATTATTACAAGTATTATTTAGTACATATGAAAGAATTAAGCAACAAAACTATCATCTTCGCTAGCCAAGGGTTAAGATCCACTTCCCTTCTCTCCACCCTTGGCGGATTGAGATAGAATTTCGGAGACACAAGGTAATGATTTTCATTGGTTGCATTCGAAACTCGCTGCATCCAATCAAAAAGCGCCTATAACATGATCACGTGTAAATGTAGAAAGTGTATGTAAACAATTGGCACGTGCTTATTGTGCAACAAGTCTTTACATCCCTAAACATACGACTATATTTAGTGACAATTTGAATGTTTTTAATCAATTAATAGAAGTTCCTGTGTATGTTTCTTGTACAAATGCATGAATGTCAACGTATATTTTCGTTTCCTGCTTTATCAAGTGTCTAGATGCTACCGTGTTTTTACCTCCAAATTGAAGAGTTCAAGTGCTACCATTGGTCAAGAATAATGTATTCGGAATGGGCGTGACTTTAATCTACCGATAGATGGCGCAACATTGTTATCACATATGTTGGCTTAATCTGCCAAGGGTGGAGAGGAGGGAAGTGGATCGTAACCCTTGGCTAGCGAAGATGCAAAACTATAGAAGATGTAAGTTTAATAAATCTAGCGTACATTGCTGTTTTTCATGTAACAATAACGCAATGTAACCGTAGCCTCAATAATTATTGTTACATTCGTAATTAATCAGGTCCTTACCCAACCATGCATTCCGGTATTTAGTCTCCAATGTAACAATAATATTATTATTATTTTTACATTTCCATGTAACCGTAGCCAGTGCCTTTAAAAAATGCGAGTTAAGTACCTTGTGTTATATTAATTAAGGTATATAGAATTTTTTTCTGAGACAAGTGCCTGTGTAATGGTCATAGAAGATTGGAACATCCAACGTCCTGAGCGTGGATTTATTCTGAGGTACATTAAAAAATAGTATTATCCCCCCCCCCCCCCAAAGATTGGGACTTCAAACGTCCTCAGCGTGGAGTTATTCTGATGTCCAGTAAAAATCATATAATGATGTTCATAGAAGATTGGCACAACCAACGTCCTGAGCGTGGATTTATTCTGATGTACATTAAAAAGTCATATAAAAATCACTCCTTTTACAAATCGTCTATCATACTGTTATACTCGGTTCATAGCTGGACATCAGAAACGTACTTTTCTCTTCTGTTTTACAATATTTTTTCATGAAATTAAGAAATCAGCGAGATTAATAAATATTTCATATGAAAATATAAACTTTATATTAAAAAAATATGTTTTTCTACAAAAAAAAGTTGACCGGACGGGTTACACATTCGCCGATGTACGCTTTGAATGAATTGAACTGATCGATAAAAAGTGTTAATATGTCTTTTGTTTTACAATAATTTTTCATGAAATTAAAAAATCTGAGAGATTAATGAATCGACTGTGAAATCCGTCCGGTCAACTTTTTTTGCTCAAAAATATTTTTTTTCAGTTTTTCATTAAATATAGTTTAGTATCTCAAAGGTCTCCAAATATGAAAAAAATCTATCAAATAACAAAAAAGTTATGATCATTTATATTATCCGGTCATGATCCTGTCACCATCCGGTCAATCGTCCTGTCATTAGTGCAACCCACTTTTCATGAGATTTCCTCACAGTAACATTTATGATTTCATTTTGTACCTTTTTAAATTTAAAAATGAACAAAACAACTACGGCCATAAACGAAAATGATAATAAAATTCAAACGCTTATTACAAATTGGTCCATAGATCAATCCCGTTGAAAGAATTATTAAATAAAGTTAAACAAAACAAGACTGTTACCGTCAAATAACATGATGAGGCATAAAGAGGTTGTCCTTTTAATGTAAAGTTTCGGTGATTTTTTAATTCAAAAACCTTTGAGTATTCAGATGAAAAAGAAATGATTCCAAACCATTACTTTCTCACAAAAAACAACTTTTCTGCAAGAGCTCGACAATTACCGAAAAGAAGTGTGACTATTACGACATTTTTTGTCATTAAGGTAGATGGGGTGTCTAAATTATAATCCATAGAATTTTTTAATAATTTGCCAAAATGCTGTTTATTTCATGCTTATAAAAAAAAATAATAAAAAGAATGGGTCAGGGGGCTTATTTTCACGCTACAGGTTGTGCAAAATTGACAGATTTTTGTATAGATTATGCATGCAAAACCCAATTTTCTGCCATAAAACAAAAACTACACCATAGAATTTTGAGATAAAATACGAGAAGATAGCTCTAATATTATGCTTTCAGATAAGAAAAAGAAAAAATGGGGTCACGGGACCCGTTTTCTTGCTACATAATAAAATAGGTAAATTCCTAACACATTCTATTGTAAAAGTAACTTTATCTGAATTAGCTGCCCTTACATTTGAGTTTCCTCCCCTTATGTGACAAAGTTGGAAAAAATTGAATCAAACAAAAGTATTCTGTTTTTTTGTAAAATACAACCATAAATATGATAAAACATGTCTTTTTCTATATTAAAATGAACATTCTTACACATGAATTACCGACTACTCTCAAAATTTGCACATTTTATTAAAGATCTAGACCGATTGTTTTCTGGTATTTCAAAATCCAAGATGGAGGAAGACACCCTATCTACCTTAAATTGAGGTCTCGATTATCTTTGAAAGTGCTTTGGCATATACAACGTACATTGTTTGAATATAAGAATCATTCCTTTTACAAATCGTCTATCATACTGTTATACTCGGTTCTCCAGTTCATAACTGGACATCAGAAACGTACTTTTCAAGACATTTCCTCACAGAAACATCTATGATTTCATTTTATACCTATTTAAATTTAAAAATGAATAAAGCAACTACGGCCATAAACGAAAATGATAATTAAATACAAAATCTTAATACAAATTTGGCTACAGATCAATCCCGTTGAAGGAATTATTTAATAAAGCAAAACAAAAAAAGATAGCTACCGACAAATTACATGATGAGGCGTAATGTAACGTTTCGGTTTTTTTTTATTCAAAAATCTTTTGAAGTATTCAGATGTAATAGAAATGATTCCTTGCCATTACTTTCTCTCAAAATACAACATTTGTGCAAGTGCACGACGATTACCGAAAAGAACTACGACCATTACTGCAGATTAGAAATGACATTTGTCATTAAATTGTGTCTTCATTATCATTCAAAGACCTTTGGCATATATGAGAATCACTTCTTTTACATATTACATGTATATATTTTGTATTGTTTTACTCGTTCTCCAGTTCATAGCTGGACATCAGAAACGAAATTTCAAGAAATTTCCCCACAAAAACACTTATGATTTCAAATGAACAAAACAACTACGGACATAAACGAAAATGATAATCAAATACAAACGATACTATAATACAAATTGGGCCACAGAACATGCCCGTTGAAGGAATACTTGATAAAGCAAACAACAGTGGAGGATCCAGAGGGGGGCGTAGAGGGCGTACGCCCCCCCCCCTTTTTGCTTGAACTTTTTTTTTCTTTTTTTGTAAAATGATGAATCAGACTAGACTTCGTGAACTTTGCCATTTCCCGGTCGTGTATAGTTAATTTTTATGCGACAATTCTTTACTTACAAAGATATTTTTCGCTCGTATTTACTGTAATATATTATTGATTATGTCAGTCATGTGTTTCGCTACGGTGGAGTTGATCAGTACGTTTGAAACGTCACTCAGTCATTTTGAAATTCAAATTATAGTAACACATTGCTTAGGCGGAGGATGACAAGCATGACGCCTTCAAAGCAACAAAGGATTGAGCAAGAACGTATTGACTTCTATTTCATATTTCCACTCAACAGAAAGTAATACTCTATTACACTCTCATGAAAAAAAAAGTTCCATGGCAATATTATTTACCTACGAAAATATGATTAACCCCACACATCCCAGCCATTAATAACATTGCTGAATAATGATCCCCGGTCAGTAAGCTCTAGATATATTTAAAGTCTAAGGTACGGACCATTTGATTTGATAGGGCAGTCTGAGATATTTTAGAGAAAAAATTCTGACCCTGATTTTTGCCTTAAACAAAAATTCTGGCCGTATCTGTAATGGAAACAATTATCGTGTCCCCTTTTTTGCTATAAGAAAAAAAAATCCAACAGAATTATTCAGCATTAAATGAACATGGTGAATAAAAAACGGCCGTAATTTTTTTTGGGGGGGGTTGCATGTAAATTCCATATCTGACCGGAATGTCTGTTTCGCCGAACTGGTATACTGAATACTTTTTTCAAGGCCCAACTGCAACCTGCCTGCTGGGTGTGGCCTTTATGTCTCCATTTGTCGACCGTCATTCACAACTTCGTTGTCATTTGATTTTCAGACTCATTCGTAGCCGTTGTTTGATTTGGAACCCCTCACTTTCCTTGTTGAGTGAAACATTTCAACCAAACATTTAGATAAAATTTGCTTGTTTGTCTTTGTGCGTGTCGGTCGTATTATAAACTTCATTGAATAGGCGTATATCATGTTTACAACAAGTAATCTGTGAGGTTATGCTAACTAACCATACAACAAACGAGAATTTTCCATGTCCATTTTTTACTGACAAATCCGACATCAAATATATTAGTACATAGCTTTAGATCCATTCAATCATTTTATAATAGACAACTTATGGGGAGAATGCGCCATCAAAAATGTCCAACCCAAGCTTACACATTAACTATAAAATATACATACCCCACGTTAGAAACCGTCACTAGAAATGTGCATTTTACACTTATTTTATTTTTTGTAGCCCAAAAAAGGTCCAAAAAAATTTTCGCCTCACTCCTCAATTTTTAACATGTTTAAAGTAACGTGAGACTTTATAACGTCTTTTAAATAAATCTCTAAAGAAAGCTTCCATGAGACAGCAACCAAAATGTAATCGAAAAAGATGTTATGTTATATGAAAAATTACAAAGAAAGAAACCAAATATATACTGCATTTACACTTGACAGCGATTTCAACATAAATATATCAGCTTTTGTTAGTCCAATTTTCTCTTTATTTTTTTTTCATTCACGAGGACATAATCATAGTCCTTGGGCAAATATATCTGAACAATCTTATAGTATTTGCATCATATACCATATACAATGTACAAAAAACGACCTGCACGATGATCGATTTTTTTATGCCAAAAAAGTGAATCATTAATGATACAGGGTAGTCAAAGTTAAGACTTTTTTCTACAAGTATTTGAAACATTCCTGAGCTTGATTTGTTTTATTATGGTCATAGAAGGTATACACATCCAATGCACTGAGCATGGATTTATTTTGTTATCCACTAAAAAGTGAGTTTATGGACATAGAAGATAGACACGTCCAACGTACAAGGCGTGGATTTATTCTGATGTCCATTAAAATATAATAGTCATAGAGAGTAGGATTATCCAACGCCCTGAGCGTGGATTTATTCTGATGAACATTTAAAAGTAATATTATGGTCATAGAAGATTGGCACATCCAACGTCCTGGGCGTGGATTTATTCTGATGTCCACTAAAAAGTCATATAATGGTCATAGAAGATTGGCACATCCAACGTCCTGAGTGTGGATTTATTCTGATGTCCACTGAAAAGTCATATAATGGTCAAAGAAGATTGGCACATCCAACGTCCTGAGCGTGGATTTATTCTGATGACCACTTAAACGTCATATAATGGTCATAGAAGATTGGCAAATGCAACGTCCTGAGCGTGGATTTATTCTGATGTACATTGAAAAGTAGTATTATGGTCATAGAAGATTGGCGCATGCAACGTCCTGAGCGTGGATTTATTCTGATGTCCAGTTAAAAGTCATATAATGGTCCACAGGCACTTGTCTCAGAAAAAGATTTCCTATATGCCTAATATAACACAAGGTACTTAACTTGCATTCTTGAAAAATGTCACCCAGTCGCGAAATTCTGTTTAATTTCGATTTCTCGGTTGTCAACCCCACTAAAACTTGAGTCTTATATTTCCAATCGGGTGTTGGTAGACGAAATAATTACGGTTGACATACCTAGGTAAGCCTGCTACGAATGATTCCGACAACAAAGGTAGGCGTGTTATACACCATTATGTAGATAAATCAATTTAGATTTACGGCATAACAAGTTTTAGTGGGGTTGACAACCGAGAAATCGTAATACAACGGAATTTCGCGATCGGGTGACATTTTTCAAAAAGGCACTGGCTACGGTTACATGGAAATGTAACAATAATAAAAATATTATTGTTACATTGGCGACTTAATGCCGGAATGCATGGTTCGGTAAGGACCTGATTAATTACGAATGTAACAATAATTATTGAGGATACGGTTACATTGCGTTATTGTTACATGAAAGACAGCAATGTACGATGGGACTAGTAATATGTACTAAATAATAAAAGTTGAAGACATTTATTTTATATTTACAATACATACAATTATTACATACAATTTCTTTAATTTTTTATTTACAATGACATTTTCTACATATCCAGTAAGTGGTTTTTGGAGCATGTTTAAGTCCGACATATTTCTGATGAAACCACTCCAAGCAGCCATCACACACCAGTGATGCCGCATTGTGAACTTCCGTATCGCATATCGTGCAGTTCCATTCTGCGATATCCCTTTTAGAAGATAAGGCAACCTTTAATGTTTACCATGCTTCTGGTGAGAAATACTTTTTCACTCTAGCAATGTTGATATTCTCATCCAATATTTTGGTTGGAAGCATGTGGTGTAGTTTCATGTCGTCTTTCAATATGATCGCACTGCCGTCCATTACGGATTTTAGGTTTACCTCACATTTCAGTATCCAACTTAGCATAGCTGAAAAAAAAAACAATAAATCATAAAAATGCAAATCAATTGTCGAAAGTTCATCAAGTACTAATAAATAGTGCCGTTGAATTATTTTCCATTTTTTTCCATTTTTCAAACTGACTAGCAACGCCATGGCTAAAAAGTAAACAGACAAACAGACAAATAACAGTACACAAGACACAACATAGAAAACTAAAGACTAAGCAACACGAACCCCATCAAAACTGAGGGGGGGATATTCACTTTCCCAATTTTTCTTAAAAGTTATTTACCTTCTTCTTTTTCCTTTGGTCGTCTTTTAAGAAACGGCATGACTCTCTTCGTTCTTTTGGGCAATCCAACGACGGTCGTTTCTGCACCTTTCGGTCGTCCTCGGCGTATCATTTTAGGGGGAGCTTATAGGAAGGGTCTATCAGTAACGGGAAATCATCTGAAACAAATATAGTGCAAATTTAATATAAAATTTAAGAATTAAATATAGCTTATGTCGTAACAAAGGATAATTTATCGATATACTACATACCAGACGAAGTGATGCCATTGTCGTCATTGGAGTCATGGTGTGATTCATCATCTTGGGATGTGTTTCCATTCGTAGCTGTTGACGAGGTGATAGCTCTGCTGAAGTAAAAAAAACATTAAAGCAATTAAAGGCATCCGTACGGCATTCAGCAATGAGAATAAAGATTAAGTCCCATATCTTCATATAAAAAAACTTATAAAAAAAACAAAGACAAAAGGAACTTATTTCAATAGATTTTAAGAAGTCACCAAAAACAGACGGACGGAGAGACGAATAAAAAATGTAAAAAATCAAATGAGAAAACTAACAACCAAATTCATAACACGACAATTTACAGAAACAGACTAAAAAAGAATATTTACCTTTAACGTCTTTCCTTCTAGAGAGAAGTGCGTCAAAATCTGTGTTAGTAGATGTAGTAGTGTTTCCTATATGTTGCGTAAGTCTTTCAATGTAACAATCTGTCCAGTCATCACAGAAATATGATCCTGCACCAAACGCTTGTTTGACTTCATCTTCAGTAATTTCTCAACATCCTTTTTTACGTCTGAATCCAACTTACGCTGGTGATATAGGTGTCTGTAAGACGCCTGCAACAGATCGTAAATTTGAGAAGAGTACAGTTTTTTTTTAAGGCACCTTTTTTTTATGTTTTCTATATCAATCATATTAGTCAAAATAATACGTTTACCTTAGTAATTTCATGGTTATGTTCATTGTTGAAATTCGTGACTTCAAAGAATACACCGTCTTTACATTTCAGTTTCATCTGGAAAGTGCTAAAAATACAAAAACACAATGCTTTAGATCAGGTTTTAAGAATTAATTCACAATTTCATAACAAAAACGAGGCAAGAGAGTTCGAAGAGGCAGAGGCAGACATACTACATTCATTAAACTAGCAATGCAAAACAGCAAATATGTCGTTGGAAGAAAAAAAAACGTTGGACACTTGGTCTGTGTCAATTTAAACTTTAATTTTATAACTCGAATGTAATTTAAATCTCGCATGGATATTATGACCCATTGATATTCGTAGATATGTTAAAAAAAACTTACCTTTGGTTTGGGCGAGCTCCATCTGATTTTGAAACGAAATTACGTCCTCCATGGATACATGTATACAGAAGTTCACAGTATTTTGTTCACAGTTAGCAAACTTTGCTATTGATGTATCAATTTTTTTTAGAACTGCGTTTGTATAGCTGTATGAAATTTGTGTCTTGATATTGTTTCAGTTTTGTTTCAAACGCATCCCATGTTTTAAATTTTTCACCCAAAACAAAATTGGCAATAGGAATCTCTTCATCCGTGATTGTTCAAAGTATAATGACAGTAATAAGTAGTAGGTGTGCAGTTAAATACTTAGAAGTGAACACTTTTCTCAGCCCGAGTTCTCAACAACAAACCATTGAACTATATTTTTCGCCTTTGGCACTACTAATCTGAAGTAGTATCTTTAAGAACATCAAAACCATTAATACGTAAAACTATTTAAACACCATTTGTTGAATAATAATATTTATTATTTATCATTATTACAAGTATTATTTAGTACATATGAAAGAATTAAGCAACAAAACTATCATCTTCGCTAGCCAAGGGTTACGATCCACTTCCCTTCTCTCCACCCTTGGCGGATTGAGATAGAATTTCGGAGACACAAGGTAATGATTTTCATTGGTTGCATTCGAAACTCGCTGCATCCAATCAAAAAGCGCCTATAACATGATCACGTGTAAATGTAGAAAGTGTATATGTAAACAATTGGCACGTGCTTATTGTGCAACAAGTCTTTACATCCCTAAACATACGACTATATTTAGTGACAATTTGAATGTTTTTAATCAATTAATAGAAGTTCTTGTGTATGTTTCTTGTACAAATGCATGAATGTCAACGTATATTTTCGTTTCCTGCTTTATCAAGTGTGTAGAATCTAGATGCTACCGTGTTTTTACCTCCAAATTGAAGAGTTCAAGTGCTACCATTGGTCAAGAATAATGTATTCGGAATGGGCGTGACTTTAATCTACCGATAGATGGCGCAACATTGTTATCACAAATGTTGGCTTAATCTGCCAAGGGTGGAGAGGAGGGAAGTGGATCGTAACCCTTGGCTAGCGAAGATGCAAAACTATAGAAGATGTAAGTTTAATAAATCTAGCGTACATTGCTGTTTTTCATGTAACAATAACGCAATGTAACCGTAGCCTCAATAATTATTGTTACATTCGTAATTAATCAGGTCCTTACCCAACCATGCATTCCAGCATTTAGTCTCCAATGTAACAATAATATTATTATTATTTTTACATTTCCATGTAACCGTAGCCAGTGCCTTTAAAAAATGCGAGTTAAGTACCTTGTGTTATATTAATTAAGGTATATAGAATTTTTTTCTGAGACAAGTGCCTGTGTAAAGGTCATAGAAGATTGGAACATCCAACGTCCTGAGCGTGGATTTATTCTGAGGTACATTAAAAAATAGTATTATCCCCCCCCCCCCCCCCCAAGATTGGGACATCAAATGTCCTCAGCGTGGAGTTATTCTGATGTCCAGTAAAAATCATATAATGATGGTCATAGAAGATTGGCACAACCAACGTCCTGAGCGTGGATTTATTCTGATGTACATTAAAAAGTCATATAAAAATCACTCCTTTTACAAATCGTCTATCATACTGTTATACTCGGTTCGATATAATTCATAGCTGGACATCAGAAACGTACTTTTCTCTTCTGTTTTACAATATTTTTTCATGAAATTAAGAAATCAGCGAGATTAATAAATATTTTATATGAAAATATAAACTTTATATTAAAAAAATATGTTTTTCTACAAAAAAAGTTGACCGGACGGGTTACACATTCGCCGATGTACGCTTTGAATGAATTGAACTGATCGATAAAAAGTGTTAATATGTCTTTTGTTTTACAATATTTTTTCATGAAATTAAAAAATCTGAGAGATTAATGAATCGACTGTGAAATCCGTCCGGTCAACTTTTTTTGCTCAAAAATATTTTTTTTCAGTTTTTCATTAAATATAGTTTAGTATCTCAAAGGTCTCCAAATATGAAAAAAATCTATCAAATAACAAAAAAGTTATGATCATTTATATTTCATCCGGTCATGATCCTGTCACCATCCGGTCAATCGTCCTGTCATAAGTGCAACCCACTTTTCATGAGATTTCCTCACAGTAACATTTATGATTTCATTTTGTACCTTTTTAAATTTAAAAATGAACAAAACAACTACGGCCATAAACGAAAATGATAATAAAATTCAAACGCTTATTACTAATTGGTCCATAGATCAATCCCGTTGAAAGAATTATTAAATAAAGTTAAACAAAACAAGACTGTTACCGTCAAATAACATGATGAGGCATAAAGAGGTTGTCCTTTTAATGTAAAGTTTCGGTGATTTTTTAATTCAAAAACCTTTGAGTATTCAGATGTAAAAGAAATGATTCCAAACCATTACTTTCTCACAAAAACATTTTTTCTGCAAGAGCTCGACAATTACCGAAAAGAAGTGTGACTATTACGACATTTTTTGTCATTAAATTGAGGTCTCGATTATCTTTGAAAGTGCTTTGGCATATACAACGTACATTGTTTGAATATAAGAATCATTCCTTTTACAAATCGTCTATCATACTGTTATACTCGGTTCTCCAGTTCATAACTGGACATCAGAAACGTACTTTCCAAGACATTTCCTCACAGAAACATCTATGATTTCATTTTATACTTATTTGAATTTAAAAATGAATAAAGCAACTACGGCCATAAACGAAAATGATAATTAAATACAAAATCTTAATACAAATTTGGCTACAGATCAATCCCGTTGAAGGAATTATTTAATAAAGCAAAACAAAAAAAGATAGCTACCGACAAATTACATGATGAGGCGTAATGTAACAATTCGGTTTTTTTTTATTTAAAAATCTTTTGAAGTATTCAGATGTAAGAGAAATGATTCCTTGCCATTACTTTCTCTCAAAATACAACATTTGTGCAAGTGCACGACGATTACCGAAAAGAACTACGACCATTACTGCAGATTAGAAATGACATTTGTCATTAAATTGTGTCTTCATTATCATTCAAAGAGCTTTGGCATATATGAGAATCACTTCTTTTACATATTACATGTATATATTTTATATTGTTATACTCGTTCTCCAGTTCATAGCTGGACATCAGAAACGAAATTTCAAGAAATTTCCCCACAAAAACACTTATGATTTCATTTTGTACATTATTAATTTTAAAATGAACAAAACAACTACGGACATAAACGAAAATGATAATCAAATACAAACGATACTATAATACAAATTGGGCCACAGAACATGCCCGTTGAAGGAATACTTGATAAAGCAAACAACAGTGGAGGATCCAGAGGGGGGCGTAGAGGGCGTACGCCCCCCCCCCCCCCCCCCACACCACACCCCACTTTTGCTTGAACTTTTTTTTTTCTTTTTATTGTAAAATGATGAATCAGACTAGACTTCGTGAACTTTGCCATATCCTGGTCGTGTATAGTTAATTTTTATGCGACAATTCTTTACTTACAAAGATATTTTTCGCTCGTATTTACTGTAATATATTATTGATTATGTCAGTCATGTGTTTCGCTACGGTGGAGTTGATCAGTACCTTTGAAACGTCACTCAGTCATTTTGAAATTCAAATTACAGTCACACATTGCTTAGGCGGAGGATGACAAGCATGACGCCTTCAAAGCAACAAAGGATTGAGCAAGAACGTATTGACTTCTATTTCATATTTCCACTCAACAGAAAGTAATACTCTATTACACTCTCATGAAAAAAAAAGTTCCATGGCAATATTATTTACCTACGAAAATATGATTAACCCCACACATCCCAGCCATTAATAACATTGCTGAATAATGATCCCCAGTCAGTAAGCTCTAGATATATTTAAAGTCTATTGACTAAAGTGATTTGATAGCTATAGGGCAGTCTGAGATATTTTAGAGAAAAAATTCTGACCCTGACTTTTGCCTTAAACAAAAATTCTGGCCGTATCTGTAATGGAAACAATTATCGTGTCCCCTTTTTTGCTATAAGAAAAAAAAATCCAACAGAATTATTCAGCATTAAATGAACATGGTGAATAAAAAACGGCCGTAATTTTTTTTTGGGGGGGTTGCATGTAAATTCCATATCGGACCGGAATGTCTGTTTCGCCGAACTGGTATACTGAATACTTTTTTCAAGGCCCAACTGCAACCTGCCTGCTGGGTGTGGCCTTTATGTCTCCATTTGTCGACCGTCATTCACAACTTCGTTGTCATTTGATTTTCAGACTCATTCGTAGCCGTTGGTAAATGATTTGGAACCCCTCACTTCCCTTGTTGAGTGAAACATTTCAACCAAACATTTAGATAAAATTTGCTTGTTTGTCTTTGTGCATGTCGGTCGTATTATAAACTTCATTGAATAGGCGTATATCATGTTTACAACAAGTAATCTGTGAGGTTATGCTAACTAACCATACAACAAACGAGAATTTTCCATGTCCATTTTTTACTGACAAATCCGACATCAAATATATTATATAGTACATAGCTTTAGATCCATTCAATCATTTTATAATAGACAACTAATGGAGTGAATGCGGCATTCAGATATAGTAGAAATGATTTCTTGCTTATTATTATTAACTTTCTCACAAAATACAACTTTTGTGCAAGAGTTCGACGATTACCGAAAAGAATTGCAACTGTTACTGCAGATTAGAAATGACATGTGTTGTCATTAATTGTGGTCTTGATTATCATTGAAAGTGCTTCGGCATATACACCATACAAACAAAAACCATTAAATGTTCTTCCAAATTCTTCCAAAAGCAAAATTATTGTCTATGTTCGAAAGTTGGATCCGCAGCGGTCATTGTGCTTTTAATCATGTAAGTAAGAACATGTAAATAAATCAAATTTGTTTTCTCAAGAAACTGTACAGTACTCAAATATGTAAAATATTCTGTACATAAAGGGTGAGTTTGTTAGTCATAAATTATACAAACCGATCCTTGCTGCACTTCGAATTACCTTTTAAACAAAAACTATAATTTTCTTGCTTGAATTTTTGAAATCAACACTGACCTGCTATTAACATAAGAGTGCACACACGGAAATGTCTCGCCTGCTTTACTGACCATTGATTTTATGTTGATAGTCCTAAATATAAAGCTTTACTACAAGTATTACATTAACTTAACATGATCCAAGAAATTGAGGTCACGGTCAGATAAACGAAACCGGAAATACATGTACACCTTACAATCATTCCATACACCAAATATAGTTGACCTATTGCTTATAAGTTAAGAAAAACAGACCAAAACATAAAAAATTAACACTGAGCAATGAACATGATGAACCGTGAAAATGAGGTCAAGGTCAAATCAAACCTGCCAGACTGACATGTACATCGTAAAATATTTCCATACACCAAATATAGTTGATCTATTGCATATAGTATTAGAAAAAAATACCAAAACACAAAAACTTAACTTTAACCACTGAACCTTGAAAATGAGGTCAAGGTCAGATGACACCTGCCAGTTGGACATGTACACCTAACAATCATTCCATACACCAAATATAGTATACCTATTGCTTATAGTATCTGAGATACGGACGACCATGCAAACTTAACCTTGTTCACTGATGATGATCCATGAAAAGAGGTTGAGGTCAGATGAAAACTGTCTGACTATGCTGACAGGCACAAGGACCTTGCAAAGTATGCACTTACTAAATATAGTTATCCTATTACTCATAATAAGAGAGAGATTGACATTACAAAAAATCTTAACTTTTTTTCCAAGTAGTCACTGAACCATGAAAATGAGGTCAAGGACAGTGGACATATGACAGACGGAAACTTCATAACAGAAGGCATCTATATACAAAGTATGAAGCAGCCAGGTCTTCCACCTTTTAAAGTATAAAGCTTTTGAGAAGTTAGCTAACGCCGCCGCCCCCGCCGGATCACTATCCCTATGTCAAGCTTTCTTCGACTGAACCACAGGCCCACCAGCCCAGGCTTGTAAAATTGATGTCAGGCCTGTAAAAATCAGGTCTACAGGCCAATAGAATCTAACTGAAATGCTTTCGAGACGTTTCGGTCACACTACCAGTTCGTCCATACTTTTTAGTCAACGCAAAAAAAAATTTTGAGTCGTATAAGGGACTTATCATTTTTTACTTGGGAGAGGGGGCTGGTCATTTTGAAATGAAACATACAAAATTTCTTAATAATAATATTTCACTATTTTTATTTGATCCCCCCGTAAAAACATTTTAACATGCAAAACACGTATCATGTTATTTCACGTGAATATTGAAAATGAAATATTCTCAGTGGATTGAGTCCAAAAACACATTTGAGGGAAAATTGCCTTGCAATAGGGCTCTTCCCTGAGGCCTCTTCCATGAATATTAGTAGGTAGAGCAAGCCAGTGCTTTGAATAGCTTTTTCTGACTTTTTTTTCTAATTTCCTATATTGGGCTATTAAAGAAAACTTTATCCTAAGTAACTCTGTAAAAAATATACATTAAAAAGTAAACTTTATGAAACAGTAACAACACATTATTTACTATGAGGGATCTATTATATGTCACTCTCTTGAACGCTGCTTAAACTTAAGTTTTACGTAAGGCCTTATTGAAACCTCCATTGAGTCGCTAAACTTTTATATGGATAGTTCATGCTTACAGCTTGAACAATTCAAATACTCATTTGTTGTCACATTTCATTCATAAATGTGTGATAGTAACCTCAAAATTTAGATTTATTAGCCTAAAAAGTACAAATTTTGAGGAAGTGAGAGGTATAAATGGACCCTTAGCGATCTTGTAATGAAACTAAAAGATACATTAGTGCTGTTCATCATCTCAGAATCATCTGTTGTATCAATATTCAACTGTTTGTATGCAGATTAGATGAATATTTAATCATTTATTGGAGAATTTATTGCTCTACACTATATTCTTCCATGATGCAGCGTGATTTGTATTTTTGGACAAAATTTTGCACAAATCGCTGTAGATTTCGTTTTAATTTATACTTAATTTCTCTCAAACTATTAAGCTGATTATAACAAAACTTGGCAGTAATGCTTGTTAATTTAGTAATAGAAGTGAGTGAAATATAACGACTAAATTATTCGGATTATGAAGCACTTTTGCATTTTATATGGGACAAAATGACACAAAATGGCAGCTTCAGATCCTACATCACTAAAGTCTTGTGATGTCTTACTTAATTGTATATGAATGGTGTTAAAAATATATTTCGATTTGACTGTTGTAATGTTCTTCTTGACATTTTGTCTCTTGAAGTATGTGAACTACTCATTTCTATTGCAAAAAATATTGATCCTCCCACATTGAATTTATAAAAAAAATTGAACCCCCCTTTTCCACATACAGAAAAAAACTTGATCCCCCCTGTATTTTGACCAGCCCCCCCTTCCAGATAAAAAATAATAATTCCCTAATGCCATGGTGTCGTGATCGTCTGTGTCGGCGTCGTCCGAAGACACATTTGGTTTCCTGACAATAACTTTAGTTTAAGTGAATTGATCTCTAAGAAATTTTACCAGAAGGTTCAATACCACAAAAGGAAGGTTGGGATTGATTTTGGGGGTGATATGGTACCAACTGTTTAGGAATTAGGGGCCAAAAAAAAAGTTTCCGGCCAATAACTTGTGTGTTAGTGTAAAGATCTCTCAGAAATTGTAACCACAAGGTTCCATATCACAAAGGGAAGGCTGGGATTGAGTTTGGGGGTAATTGCCCCAACGGTTCAGGAATAAGGGGAAAAAAGGGACCAAAAACAAGCATTTTTCTAGTTTCCAGACAGTAACTTGTGTTTAAGTGTATGGATCTCTCTAAAATTGTACTACAAGGTTCCATACCACAAAGGGAAGGCTGGAATTAATTTGGGGGTAATTACTCTAAGGGGGAAGGGTGTTCAAAAAGTTTGGGGGATTTTTTTTTTCAATTTTTTTGGGGGTTCATATTTTTTTCTTCAAAATATTTGAAATTTCAAATGATTGCACAGTATTGTGCAATAGCAAGAAATCTTCAAATGCACAGTATTGGGCTAGCAAA